CAAATCGGCCCGGTCGATTTTACTAACCAGCACGAAAATTTCATGATACCGAAGGTGGTCTACTGTAAAAAAATTAAACAAAAAAAAAAATCAATTCTATAAAGTAACGATAGCCCTACCAATCGTCGTAAAGTACTTATAATAAGTTTTTCACATAGAGCTTCGGTAAGAGTTTAAATGGATGGGGTGAAATTGTTTATACTAGATAAGAATACATTGTTCTGTACTTTGATATTCTTCTCTCTTTATTGAGTTTTAATCCATAATATTAGAATTCTATTATACAAAACCCCAATCCGATCCGGATAACCTGTCAAGTCGATGGTTATTCGTTCCACTATAACCTGAATACAAAGTATAAACGTGTACATTCACTGGTGACATATGTATTAAAGTTAGTACCTTGATTCTCCAACCCCAATAACAAGCGTGCCTGGCTGATTACGTAATGAGATGGAGCCCATATATGAACACAGGGAGGAAGGAAAGAGAAAGGAAAAGACGAGAGTTAATTTCAAAGGAAAACGGGAAGCTTACGTGGCGGAGACTGAAGGCATTAGAGAGCCGTGATGTGACCACTGGGACTGAATTCAAGACACCGGGCTTCAAAGGCTCTAACCTGGTTTGTACGACCCGATCTCTCCGCAAAAAGCGTTTTTGAACGGCCTCTAAAAACCTCTCAGCACGACGGTGCCCGAGTGCCTGACTCCGAGTCACGCGGGGGTGCCCTTACCGACTACTGCAACGAGGCGGTAAGGGGCGTATCTAGAGTCCGGTGACCTTTTCTTTGGGTTCGCGGAAGGCTGATGTTCCTCTGCTCATCGTGTTGGACGATCATGCCCTTCTTGGGTTAGTGAACGTACCTTGCACAAAGGAAGCCCTGTACGCCGACGCCACACCGTCCGACGCGAATCGCCATCCTGGTGCCCGATCACACTCGGGGTACGAAAATCGGCTTCTTCGACTGGGCCAGGAAGGACCAGGCCGGCCGTTGAAATGGGACACTTTCCAACGACGGTGATGTGCGTTCGCCCGTGGAAGGACCAACCCCCGACGGCAGAATTCGTTCATACAAAGACACACAAGATACATTAGACATAAGAAGAGACCTGAAGCACAAAAACAGAGACACAGAACACACGAATACGACCAGGCAAGCTGTTAAGAGACACAATATACAGAATTACGATTAGTACAATTGGTGGCTGTCCGATTGCAGTCGTACAGAGTATAACAGATAATAAGTACGCATGCACAGAATATAGAGAATTAGGCTGTCGACTTGCCGATCGTCGATTAGACAACATAAGAGAGACTTGTATACCGGGGACTAGTAGAAGTCACAGGCACTATTATAGGACACAAGGCACAACACATACAGACCTGACATACAGACATTCGCAACAGGAGACAAGACAGGGGATATATTAAGAGTTACAACAAAAAACAGAGAGCGGACAGCAGGGACACTGTGCGGAAGTACCGGGAGAACACTTCTGCGTGTTATCATTAGATGAAGACTACACTAACGATACTTTACAGCTTAGTCACAGGATTATACTAATTATACGTTATCCCAACATACTACGAAAGGTGTATATCGTGTGGATTTCACGGATATTCGATAAGGGAGTCTGGCGCGTGTTTTGTACGCTCTGCTCTCCTTTTTCTTGACGAGATGGCATAACACAACCACAATATATATCTACAAAGAAAACAGGAAGGCCAAGACAAAAATTGCGTGTTGTGTATGGGCGCGCGGGACGACACACATATCTCACTACAATAACGTCTAGAATTGCGAAAATAAAAACACAAGACACAAGAACAAGAGAGCCGAACTTCAGGAAACGACACACAAACAAAGAGAGAGTAACACACAGCTGAACAGACACAAGAGAACAAATATACCATACAGAGATGCGGCTAAAAAAAGGACACGAGAGAGAGGAGACACAACAGCCGTAGCAACTCAAGGAGACCACCTGACGAAAAGCCACACAGATCCTTGAAAAATATGCCGATAGACAGACACGTCGAAAAAATGCCGATCGTTGCTGATACAATATACCGATTGTATACACATCGTTTCGATTGTCTATTGTTGCTACTTGATCGCCATTGCACCTGGTCCGATTGCCGGATCGTATGAATTGCCGACCGACCGAAGGTACACCAATTGTAGAATGACACAATATTGTTAATAACACTGCACCAACGGCCCTGCTCTTCCAAGCTGTCCGCGGAGCCACACTGGTGACGCACACTAGGGAGTAGTTTTGAAAGTGGCGGACCAAAATGTAGCCAGTAACTGCTGGGCGAAAAACTCGAAAAGGCCACGGCGACTCTCCTCCAAAAGCCCCTGTTCCGGCCCAATGAGCACACCCTGTGAGAGTGAAAAGTGGCGTCGCGACAGCCTGGGCAGCCGGTACGAAAGTAGCGGGTACCCCACCGCGCGGAACCCTGGGACCAAACCGGAGAGAGACAGGTGCCGAGGCAGGGAGGGCCCCCTTCTGACGAGGAGAGCAGGGCCTATGCGAGTTAAGGGGGAGAGGAACGTTGGTGTGGGAGGAGCCCGGGGACACGCACAAAGGAGGGGCCCGTTGCTTCCTACGCGTTAAAACTTAAGACCCCACCCGAACACATCACTGGTGACATAGCTGCCTGATCTAAGGTTTAGTACCCCTTGATGGTCCAACCCCGCGAATAACAAAGGCGTGCCCTGTAATTACGAAATGACATGGAGGCCTTCCATATATGACACAGGAGGAAGATCGTCCGGATCGTAGAAATCGAATATAATGGAACGCAAATGGTGAATCCCGTCAGGAATACACAAATTAGACACGTACAAAATGTGAACGTACATACTCCTAGTAATTTCAACTAACATTTGAAGAAAAAAAAATATCCCACAAAGTGAGACAAGAACTTTACTAGTCACAGTGACGGTTGTAATTTAGTTATTCCTTCGTACCGACGAGTAAGGGACCGCGAGAGTTTTCTCAAGACCCGCCGACAAATTTAGATACAAGGTTGACTCTGTCATGGTTGTGTATCTAGCTCTTGTCATCGATGTGATTAAACACTATTTTAGGGTCTGTTCTTTTAGTGTTGTCTATCTAGTGGTGTGTGATGGTATTATGTTGAGAAGAGGGTGGGTTTTCCGAGGGTATTAAGAGTTTCGAGAACCTCTTTGGAAACTGTAACAAAACCCAATCTCAGACCTTTGGATGGAGAGACAGTCACCAGAGGGAGAGGTCAATGTGTTGTTTGGACTGGGTTCGATCCACACGGCATGAACACAATAGGTTAGCAAAGTCTCTATTGACATACTTGCACATGGGCTGTCTTTCTATATCTGTCACATCTTTGGACAATGTTTGTGTCTTTATTTATACTCTTCTTCTTCGCCGTGTTGTACATCTTATCTCTCCCTTGGTACAAGTCTCAGGTGGAATCGGAGTTTGTGTATGTTGATTCGAATTTTACCAATGTTACTTGTTTCGTGAAGTGAATTTTTATACTCTTGTATAGTCCAAGAACCTATATTTATGGAGTAAAATCAATAAATCTGTGTTAATTGTGAATATTCAAAGTATAGAATATGTAATTCTTATGCTAGGTATAAAGAGACTGTCTACATTATTAGTATATCCCGGCTAAAATAACTGGATGGCCTACCTGCCTGTCAGCATTCCATCTGTGCACAAACTTATCTCGTGCCCTCATTGGTCTTGTGCGCGTTCGTGTGTGTTGGAGGAGGGGCTCTGTAAGGAAGTGGCAGATTTTCTCCGGTTGTGTATTTTCAAATTCTAGCGCACTCGAGCTGGTTTCTCCGAAATTACCTACCCCACCTTTAAGTGTTATTATGGGAGAATTACTATTCTTGTGGTACTACTGCCTTATTAGGCCCATATTGAGCAGAGCATATTAAGACCAAAACTCATGTACAACAACTTCCTTACTTGCAATAAATAAGCACTAATTAGAGGGTTATTGAGGAAAAACTCTCAACTAATGGCTTATTACGTGTAGAATATTGTCATGTAGAATAAGGCATTAATACGTGTTTTATAATGACTAATAAAGAGCCAATATACTGCTAATATGCATGTTAAGCTGATGGTTAATTTGTGTACCTTAATATAAAGTGCTACCTAGAAGTCAACTCTGCACTAAATAATCAAAATCTGATTGAACTCGTGTTAGATGACTCCCACTTGCTCATCAATTGGAGGCGTGTTGTTTGTTAAAAGCATATGTAACGCCAATTAAACACTGTATAAATGCAGATGTGTGCAATGTGCAAACACTCTGTCACGTGCCCAAGAATTGTAGAGATGCCACCAAAAAAGAGCTGTAAGAAGCATAAGTTTAGCAACAGTTTAAGACTGTTAATAAACAAACTAAATGTGTTTTACCGCAGTGTCATAACTGGCGTTTCAAAAGCATCCAACATTCTTCTTGCACTTGTTTTTTTCTGTTTCTTCTTGCACTATTTGAATGTCTTGTGCATATGACGATAAAGCCTTTGAATGCAACGTCTGAATCCTTGAGTAGTATGTAAGCCTTTATAAATGCTAGATGCACGCAATATCATACTCCAAGGGTTTTTTAGTCAGTATTGGAATCAGTAGAATAACTCTAGCCACAATCTAATCGTTAAAGATTGTATTTATTTCAATACACAGGTTAATCCAAGTTTGATTATGTGATGTTCATGCATTTATTTTATGTTCCTGAAAAATAAAACCGAGATTTCGTTACGTTGGAAAACCAATTTGTAGCTCCCGAAAATTCAAAAAAATATTTTTTTAGAGAAAAGGAAAAAGGAGAGAACCCTAAGAATCTCCGTACCAATACAAATAAAAACAAAGCATGGATATGAACACAAATAGGAATATATATGTGTATCGCTCCCTGCATGAGGCCCAATGAGTACATTTGGTCACATTGCTGAAACCAAACAGATGCCACCATTCACGTGCTGTCAAAGAGTCTCCTCGTGGAGCTACTCAATCACCAGACAGTATGAAAACATTTGTTCGGTGGGAAGCTCATTCTCACACTTGGGGAGCTAGATACAGTAAATACAACATCATAACTGAGGTCTCACACCAGCTCCATAATAACTTCCCACTCAATGAGCTTCAGTGACTCATGAAGAACTGTTGCTCTCCTCTGTTCCTCATCTTACATCCTTCTCTAAGGAGACACTTCATCATAAAACGCTAAAATAGTCTCACATCACGACACATCTCTTTATCTCTGATCTCCTTTTCATCTTTTGTTGCACTCAGTTACCATCTAACAGGGAGGTGTCAACGACGGCAGCACCACTTCCATTTGTCTGTGCCTCTCTTCCTCTCTGATGGACTACACAAAGCACAGGTGCATTCTGGTATATGAAGTCTTTCTTTGAATCTGTCCCTGAAGATAATAATACTTACATGTATGTAAGCAGTGGCTGAAATGTGTTGTACCTGTCTGTGTATAATTTGTATTGCAAGTCTAAAGTTAATAATGTATTAGGAAGTTCGGGTAAAACGTGTAATTTTTTCAACTACATAATTACTCTGTAGCTATGTTAATTTGACAATAAAGAACCTTGAATTGTTGCATGTGTTTGCAAGAGGCCTGTTTTAAGACTGTTTGGTAATGCCGGACAGTTTTTGGTGATGTGAAAGTTGCAGACAGAAGATCAACTTCTCAGACACAACCACAGAAGTAGGAAGAGACACATTTATTGTTAGACATTAAACTCTTCCTCTGGTTTTCATTTAGTGTTAGCAGACAGAACAGAGTAGCTGTTTTGTATGAGAATAAAGGTATTTAACATTAATCAAATGGGAATTTAGATTTATAGTTCTTTAAAATATGTATTTAACTTATTCTGAACATGCAACAAAGAAATTGAACAGTAAACATAAAGATAGATCTTAAAATAAAAATTCTCATGCACAATAAATGATGTATGTGATATATTTCATGACATAGGAAGAAGTAGACACCAAATGTTTAAGTGTGACAAAGATAAAACAAGCTAACAACCAACCATGCACTCAGAAATAAGTGGTGGTATTATTAGCTGCTAACATGCTACCTA